ATAAATGGTTTATTACCAACTCAGACCTCATAACTTTTCTTCTGCCTGCAATTCACATCCTTCTGCTTTCAGTATTGAAATACAAAATAAGGTGAATTAGTGTATCTGTGGCTGTGCTTATGACTACTGGAAATGTTGAATGGAATAAACAACAACAGCAAAAAAAGGGTGGATGTCTTGTTTTTTGTGGGGTGAATGAAGAAAAACAAGGACTGCTTATGCTGGAGAAAGATCCTGGCCTCCTGGTGAGCATCCTTCACTGCATGGTAAAAGGTTGGGGAATTAACTTTTCTTAAAAACATCTTGGTAAAGAGACAGGAGTAGCAGTAGGGAATTATATCCTGACATATATCCCTGTATATCCTGTTTATTGCAGTTGGTTTTTTTTTTTATTACATGAAGATGACAGTAGAAAATAATGAAAAATGGTATGTCTGGTTATTAAAAATGTTTATAAAAAAAATAAAATCAGCGTCTCTATTAGCTGAGTAATATGTCATATTGCTCTGTGGTGGGTCGTCAAACTGATCATCTAATTAAGCAGGCTGTTGTACTGTGTATGCATAAGTTGGCAGAGTTATGGTTGCTAGTGGAACTTTAAATTTTCCCTCATGACTGCTGTGATTAAGATCTCAGTTTTACTGTAGCCTAAGCATATTTTTTTTTCCTTTGTATCAGCTTCCCAGTAAAGCATTTTCCTCAGCTGTCACAGACGTAGTTTACACAATTTTTCCTTGAGTTTGTAATATTTGTAGCAGAGTTTCATGAGGAGTGTCTGCACCTGGGAAAAGTTCAATAAATTCCAGTCTATTTTGCTAACAGACAAATGGACATAAGGTAGGACAGACAAGCTTATATGGTTTTTCTAAGATCCTGCACTCTGCATTCATTAACATATCTCTGATGGTTCTTTTTAAAAATTTGAGAATGAACATCAAATACACGAGTCTTGAATTGATTCTGTATCTCAGATAAATCTGCTCAGTCAGTGTCACTGAGCAAGTTTCAGATCCCTGGTAGAGGAGAACTAGAAAGTTTTTTGTTTTTTTTTTTTTTTAATAGTTAGTGCATAGTAACTGGTCCCTCTGAAAATAAACAGTAAGGAGCTAGAGAGCAGAGGTCTGGGAGAATATTGAGATACTCTCTGAGTGTCAAAGTGGAGGAGTTTAAGGTGGAAGTATTATACAAAAACAAACATGTAGCACATGATAAATTTAATTAAAGTGATGCTGCAGGGTACCTTCTGGTTACCAGATCTTTTTATAGCTACCGCTATAACCCACAGTGTCTTCTTTCTGCATATTTTTTTTTTTTTTTTTAAGAGGTGCTTTTTTCACCTACCTTCTCTTTTGATATGGGGGCCCTCATCTCCATCTTCTCTTTTCTACAGTCTTTTTTTTTTTTTTTTTTTTTTTTTTTTAATTAAAATATCTTTGTTTTGATGATTTCCTCTATTAACATCATGGATGATGTCCAAATCTGCCCCGAGAATACTTCTGTTCTGCCTCCTTTGCTTCCTCTTTGAAAATCTTTGCACAGGTGTCTTACTGCTGCCTGAAACATTTACTTGCAAAGCAGAAACTTTTCAGTTCTTGTCAGGACCTCCCTTTCTTGTCTTCCTTCTCTCCAGCCATTAGGACTGTCAGTGGTATTTGGACAACCGTCAAGCTTTTTCCTGCTTTAAATCTTGGCTCCTTTCCATAGCTTCTCTTTTTCTTTTGGACATTCATTGAGGGGGGAGCATATTTTATGTATAAGAAAGCATAAATGTTTCTGAGTTTAATATTACACATATGAAGCTGATTCAGTCTCTCTAGTCATTCAACTTTCTGTCAAAATCATCACAGTTCCATTTCTTTGAGAAAATTTTAATACTAGTTTCTTTGAGAACTCTTACATTGACTTCTTTCCCTTTGGTTTAAATATAATTGGTAATGATTATGTTACGATTTCTGTCTCCCTCATCTGACTTGTAGAATAAACGCATTAAGGAAATGAACATTTTTGGTAGAAAGGTGTTTTGCAAATACTTTTGTTCAGTATTTATCCGAATAATTATTCCTGAGTCCTTGAGACACAGCCTGCTTGTGCTGATTGCAGAAATCCTCCCCTACCTGACAGTGTTAGTTGGGAGAAACAACAAGAATACAAATAATTTTACAAAAGAACTTTGTCTCATACAAAAATGTGTCTGGAAGAATGACGGTTAATGCAGGATCTGAAGTGACTGCCCCATTTGATCTGAACAATTTTGTAGGAATGAACCAGGAATTATTATCTAGAATTATAATGGCAGTGTTTCCTAATGATTAAAAATAAGTGTTGAAAGAGCTAAAGACAAAATAGCCAGATTCTGGGAATCATAATTAGTAATGATTATGCTTCTATGATTCGATATGTTGTAGGAGCAATCAGAAGACCCTTTGTGCATTCATTGTATTTTCGTTATTGATATCTTGGACATTATACAGATGTTCACTTCAGAAATGCGTAAGCCTGTGTTGTTTCTCAGGAACCAAGGGACAAAGTCAGATGGGAAGATTTCTGCTGAAGGCAGAAGTGTGCAAATGGATGAGTTAAGTTGGATTTTTTTTGGGTGGAACAAAGAGCACTGTAGGATAGGGAAGAAAGATGGATGTTTGGCAACGATGCAGAGAAAAAGCATTGCTGAGACTTGAAAGGAAAGATGGATTTTTTGTAGAGCAGGAACAGCTACTGTGTGTCCAGAGGAGCGAACAGTGGCAAAAAGTAATGAGAAAAAAAATTTGCACATGGTTACTGAGATCTATTTAAACTAGGAGAACTGTACCTATATGAGAATTATTATTGTGCTGATTTTATTGTGTTGCTCTGATAGTAGACTAATTTTTCACAAGTGTGAATTGTCAAACATTTTTGTATTTTAGTTAAGGTGACTTGGAAAATGTATTTTCATTTGAGTAGTAAAAGTCAATGTTGAACCTTTAGATAACACATAAAGCAACGGGCTGGTTCTCTGGTCTAGTGAAGTTAATTATAACACAGATTAATTTAATCTGAAAAATAATTTTAATTAATTAGCGTTTCATCATCTATAGTCTTCTGGGCAAAAGATATCGTTCTGTTCAGGTAAAGCTGTCAGGCTCTAGAATTCTTCCAACTGCTTTGTCCGCAATAAAATGTTAGATTTCATGCATGGAGTCCGTATGCCCTTCACCGGCCTCACACAGAAGGGTCAGTGCTTTTTCTGTTCTTCAGAGGCAGTACTGAACCCCTTAGTCACAATATGGCTAAAACTATATTGAACCTTCAGGGTAATTACTCCGGTTAATATTGGGGTTGTCTGCGGAAGGACGGAGAAGTGGGTTATGGCAGACCAGGTCCTGGGTGATGCTAAGGAAATGGAGCAACCTGGAGGGGAGCTACGGTGCTGCTTTCATGGGTATCCATGTCAGGATGGACAAGGAGCATCACAGCACCGGAGTCTTAAGGTACCTTTGTTCCCAGGGGCTAAAGGGAAGTTCTGTCTTTATCAGGTGACAAAAGCCAAAGTAGAAGTTGCCTGGCAGAGCCGTACGTTACTACTGTCCCTTAGGTTTTCCTCGTCCTTTCCTTTTCATCCAATGACAGTAATTTTGGCTTGCTTTTGTCTTGTCAAGATTGTTTTAAATTATTTCTTGTCTTTAGTTCCCCAAAATATAATTCCAGAAAAATAAAAAATATTTTCTAGTATATAGAAGAGGTTATATTATCTGTGAACTTTTGTATTTGATAACAGGGCTTCTCAAAACAGAGAGTTGATTTTGACATTAAAATGTGCATAGTTCAGGAAAGGTATTTAATAAACCACGCAAACAGAAATTCTAGAGGAACTATTCATAAATATGCTTTAATTACGACCATCCTTAAGCTGATGACTTGTTTGTGACTTTAAATGTCTCTGATCTGAATGCTGCCTGGTGAGCCAAGCATGGACATGCTCAAACCAAGACCAAAGCTTGCCATGAAGGCTTTAAACAGCCCTGTTCACTTTTTGGCTGTAAGCAGCCGTGGTGTTGAGGTGTTTAAGGGAGGATGGCACGTGCCCTGTGCTGCGGGGTGCTTGAGTGCCTGGTCTGTGTGGATGTGGAGACCTTCATGGGACCCTGCCCGTGGTGTCTGCCTTGTTGCGAGGGGACATCTGCTCCTGCATTTTCTGCACGACCTCTGTGGGACCAAAGTCCACAGCATTAACAGGATTTGCTGGATCCAGGGTCTTCCCTTGCCGTTGCAGTACTGATGGTACATTTCATTTAAGTAACACATTTTGCCATTTTTAATGATTGCTATGCTTTCAAAACGCGTTTGTCTAGTAGTGCTGAAAGTATCTCGGTGACTTTTCGCATTGCGAGTGACTGCTCTGGTACCAGAATAATTTGGGCCAGAAACCAGAGATCCTGTCATGAACCTTTGCTCATGTCCAGTCTTTAATCCCTTCAATTTGCTGAATGTTTTACTTGTGGCTTTGGGTTTTTTTGTTTGGCTTTTCCTCTCGTCTTTGAAAGGAGACTTATCTCATCCCTGCCTTGCTCTCTTAGCTAGGGTCCTACCCCACTTCAGGATGGTTAATTTAAGGTCCCCATGCACAGATGGAGTGTAAATATTTAAACTTTTGTTACTGGACACTGTCCAAAAGTGCTTCCATATTTAAAGAGCAGATTAAGATCTGTTAGGTTAGTGAGCAACTGAAGGAAGTTGTATAGTGTTACCTGTGGTAGCAACTGTTCCTTGATATGAGCAGATGGGTGATTGAAAAGAAAGGACAGCTCACTGTGAATTTGAAGCCAGACATTTCCTGGGTTTAATATCGTGAGTGCTGTAATGAATATACTTGTCAACTAGAAGATACCTTGCAAATAGGATTGTGAAATCACTCGTGGCGGATTGCACTTTGCTATGTCTATGAATGAAGGTGGATGTCGTACATATTACGTCTGTTGTTCTGTGTGTATCTATATATATATATGTTTTTGTTTCTTTAGGCTTTACAATGCAGACCTTTGAAACCATCTCGGGGAAGATGAAGCTTCCAGTAGCAGCAGTCTGGTTTGGAACCCGCTTGTTTTAAGAATACCTGGGAATTTCTACCCATATTTGCCTGTTCCAGAGTAAAGCAGAGGACAATGAGTTATTTTTATTTTTTGCATATTTTCACGCTACGTAACAATTTTTTTTCCTTCTCATTTTGTTCAATGGGAAAAACTTGAGGCAGTTGTGTATCTCATTCTTACTTTGCCACATTCCTCTTACTGATCCAAATTCTTGGAAAACACATCGACAGTACATCTATTTCTGTGTTTTTTTTGGTTTTGGTTAGTTTGTTGTGTTTTGTGTTTTTTTTGTTTTTTTTTAATGTGACATTTGTCACTTTTTGAGTGCTTTTACCTATTCTGGTTTGAACCTGTCTTTTTGCATTGCTGAGTAGTCGTAGAATCACTCAAGGAGCTAAATAATTTCCAATTTACAGAAGATGACTCATATGCTTCAGAAACACTTTTATGGGTGTGCTTGGCTCATTAATACAGGAGTTTAACAGTAGTAATATGAGGTATTGCATTAATTGTTGCATACATTTATTACCAAATGACTTGCACAGACAATGTTTCAGATGTCGTGGACCTAATCATAATAACCAGAAGTGTCCTGTTTGCAAAGGAGAAAATAACATCCCTTTGTACGCCGATAGCAAGCAGATGAAGTTGCTTGCAGTTTTGGAAGTAAGGACTGATCACAGGGAAAGCTGGAATGGATTTTTCTGCTTGAGGAAGGGGAAGCTATGCAGCTTAATATTTGGGTTGATTATAATGACTCTAGTGATGGCATCCTACATACTGACTGGAGCCAAACATGGCCTGTTGTTAATACCATCTCCCTTCCATTATGGAGCTTTTACTAGCAATCCAAGCTTAATGGACAATGAAAGCCTTAGTGACATGAAAGACCATTACCAGCCTTCTAAAATGAATATTTCATACGTAAAGGATTATCCAAGCATTAAATTAATTATTGACACTATTACTTCAAAGATAGAGTTTATGACGAGACAGCGCCCCGATTTAGAAGAGCTGAGGAAACAAGAGCCACATGTAAGTGTGAATTAAAGTATGTCTTAAACTGCTGTGTGCTTGCTTATTTAAAGACTTTTGGGTCAATCTTTTTACTGAGATTAAAAAAAAAAAAAAAAAAGCAACTGCTCAAATGTTCATATAGTGATTTATACCATCTAGAACCTTCTGATTTACACCAGCTGTGAAAAGGTGATAGTGTATATCACGTCCTTCTGAGTCATGGGCAAAATAGATGGGTTATATAAATGGTCTTGACACCTGAAAAAAAAAATAAAAATCAGGCAGTCTTCCGATAGCTGTACAATCTCATTGAATTTTTACCTTGTCTCATGCAAAATCATTCTGACTTAGATTTGCCATTCATCTTAAATGATTAATAAGAGCCTTTCTAATAACTGATTACCTTCTAACTGTGCCTTCCTGAAAATCCAGTCGTTGCAAACCTTGTATTTCAGAGTTAAAAACTGGAAGCTAATTTGATTTGAGTATTACAGATTTGACTTTAAAAATTAATTCCTGGGGCTGCAGAGGAGTTGGGGGATTATTGAGTCCTTTCTGGCCTTTAAATAAAAGGATTCCTAAATGTACTCCTCTCCCAATCCAACTGTGGTGTCATCAGAAAAAAAATAGATTAACTTTCTAGTCAAAAAAAAAAAGGTTGAAAATGTCCACATAGTGTTTCTGTTAATTACTGTTGCTTACTGTGCTGTTAGAAAAGTCTGTCTTTTTTTTTTTTTTTGCTGCCTTGACTAAAATTGTTGTTCTTTATGTTGCAGATGTTTTCAGTAATTCCTAATAAATTCCTTCCAAATAGCAAGAACCCTTGTTGGTATGAAGAGTACAGAGGAAACACAACCACAGATCCTTATGCAACAAACTCCTATGCACTGTATTCAAAGCGCTTTCGAACCATATTTGATTACCTCAGGAAGGTATTTTGGAACCACTTGTACCATTACAAGGACAAACACTACCGCCTACGCTGTCTCCCCCATTTCTACATCATTGGCCAGCCCAAGTGTGGGACAACGGACCTGTACGACCGGCTCAGGCTGCACCCCGACGTTCGGTTCTCAGCAATCAAGGAGCCACACTGGTGGACAAGAAAACGGTTTGGTGAGTAAATATGTCCTCTGGTATCCAGGCAAGTTGTCCCTGTTAAACTTGGACGTGTATATTTGGGGTGAAGTTTGGATTTGCTCCATATTGGCTTACCACGAAACCGCTGGAGTTAATAGTTTTGGAAAGTCCAGGTGATGGATGCTCGGTAGGTTCCAGTCTGCTTTTGCCTAATGGTGTTTTGGGTTAAACTTTTTGAGATGATGCACACTTCATTTGGTTTATTTGCGGTGGTTTGGAAAATCTGGGAAATAATTAAAAACACTTGATAAAACCAGCCCTGTGAATTTGTAAAAGCAGGAAAAGGAACTATTAGGTGGTGACAGGAGATTTAAAGAATAACAGTGACAGTTTTGGATTGCAAAGTTTGTCTTAAATAAATGGTGGATGAATATCTGAGATGTGGGTGGCTTCAGGCCTTACGGTTCAATAAATACAACTGTGCTTTCTGGTAGGAGCAACATTAGTGTTGCAGCCCTAGTCAAGCACTGAACAGTAGAGATGCTCTGCATGAGAAAGCTCCCACACACTGAGGAACCTGCACATATTTTTGATGCTCTTTTCCTGTGTGACATCAATATTTCATGAAGTGACCCTTCGTCTCTGAAGGCAGGCTTGAGTAGTTGAGGTTATGGCCTGCTGGAGCAAAACGCATCCACCCCTCGTGATTGCACCTTCAAGAGGGTGTCTGAGGGCGGTGGGGCCGAGCACATCGTTTTATCCATCTGAAGTATTTATGTCCTTCCTGTTCTCTCTTTGCCGGGTGCCAAGGAAGGTCAATCTTGTGGTTAGAGACTAGATGAGGTGCAGAAGACCCATTTTCAATTCCTGACTCTGCTGTGTGCTTAGTGCCGTCCTCTAAATGAGGCTGTTTATAATGCTTGCTGTGTTCCACACAGGCTCTGGATTTTCCCACTGTTGGGTCTAGCTGTTAAGTGCTGGCATGCCCTCACTTCATGTGGCTTTGGTATCAAAGATCACCGGCTTTTCAGTGATATTACTATTTTCAAGAGGAAGATACTGGTTATTTTACAGTGACATCCTCGCTTCTTTTTCTCATTTGCTGTTGCTTTACTGCGGACGTTGCATTTAGAACAAGGAAAAAACTATCACTGTGGGGTAGATCTTTTGATCAAGACTTTGCATCACTCCTTTCCTTTGGTGCTTTTCTAAGCTTCCTTGAAGTGGGAGACTATCTCTTCTAATAAACTGCTGTGGCTAAAGGCAAGGACACTTTCTGAGGGACTGAGACACCTGCAGTTGTGCTTCTGTTCTTTATTTTGGGGTCATACCTTCAGTTTTTTTATTTCTTCTACATGTGGTGCTGCAATTTTTGTCTGCCTTCCCCATTCCCTGGAGTTCAGGAGAACCTCTGAGCTCCTTCAGATGGGGCATTGCTCCTCGCTGCTTGGTGGGGAGGAGGGCTCAGCCACAGAGCTGGGATTTCATGATTTTGCTGTGTTGTTAAGAGTTTGTATTTTCTTCCTTTTGCAAATGCCGTAAGAAAGTGGCTAAAATAAGTATTTTAGACATTTTCTAAATGCTTGTTATAAACTAAGATTTAAAGCAATATGACAAAAATATAGTTTTGCTTTTGAGATAATTTGGTCCAGTTTAGGAGACACGAGATACCAGTGAATTGAGGAGTCAAACAAGAGAAGCACCGTGGTGCCCCCTGAAGCCCCACGAGAAGACACTCGTTCATCACAGTCCATGGCTGACTGAAGACAAATGATAAGAATTACCTCCTGACCCGAAGGTGAAAAGTCAGATCAGTGAAGAAAGGGGATTTTAGACTTGGATGCCTTCCAGCGTGAATGCTGTGCTGCTTGTCTCTGGGTGTGCAGGTGCAGGGACTGTCAGCAAAACCATTGGTGGAAGTTTGTCTCTTCCATGAAAGTGCTGGCAGGGAAGACCAAACCAAACTGATACTCTAAGCTAAAACCCTTTATACTAAATAGTTTTTTGCACCTACGTTAGCCTTAATGTAAAAGTTTGGAGTCAATGTTGGGGGAGGCAGTGCATCCAACCTCACTAAAGCAAGACTGGGCTCACTAAATCTCAGAACTGGACCTACCAAACAGGCAGAAGAGTGTAAGAGCTCAGGCTGGAGTGCATATAATTTGAGAACAAGTATGAATTCCAGTCTCGGTGCTGGCATTCAAAAACCCTCCACTTGCACAGTCTTGTGGTCAGCCACTGGGGACCAAGTGCAGATCCTTGAAGAGAACATTCTTTGCATAATTATTATTTTTTTTTTTTAAAGTTATTTTGTAAAGCTGAAGAATGATGAAAGATTGCAGAGCTTGTGATCTCATGGGAGGAAGATCTGTAGAGATGACCTTCCTGTCGTCTCAGGCTGTCTGCCATTGAAAATGAAAGATTAAGTTTGCTCCTGGATGCTCAGTCCTTTCATTCTACCTCAACAGTACATTAGCTAATGGTTCCTATTAAAAAAAAAAAAAAAAAAAAAAAGGTGGGGAAGAGAATATGACAAATAGACTAACAAGTGAAAGTGACAGCCCCCTTTATAAGCCAGCTAGTGGATATGACTCCTGTGCTCCTGGCTATTAACTTGGTGTAGTTTGTAAGACTGATCTAGACAAGAAAGTCTCTGTTCTATGGCATCCTCTGATTCAGTTGATTTTTATGAGACTGACTAATTTCAGCTGAAGCTAAACAGCCCTCCCGGGGAGGCCCCATTTCGCAAATCACCGCTTTCCCATTCTGCAGGGCTGGTTGATGCTCTACAGGACTTTGTCCCAGCTTGACTGTCTCTCTTTCCTGGCTCTTAGCCACAATTTCTATTCCCATGGTTGGAGTGGCAATGAACCAAGGCAGTCTGTAGCACCATGCTTGTACTTTTTTTTTTTTTTTTTTTTTTTTTTTTTTTTTTTTTTTTTTTTTCCCCTCAAAACAAGTTAAAATACACTGCTGAGCTTTCTTCTACCCTCATTAAATCCCACTTTCCTGAAGGGGAAAATCAGACGCAATGGACAAAAGAACTCCCTTGCTGAGCTTTCGTCGCACATAATTGATAATTATTGGCCTTGCGGGAACAAGAAAGGAAGAGCTGAGAAGTCCTGCTCTGTACTGTTACCTTTGCTTCTACTCTATTGTCTTCCCGATACCATCCTTGACCACTGCCCACTTGGGAAGCTCTCCTGTGGTATGGTAAGAAGCAAGAATGCAAAGGTGGGCATGGGGAGCATGTACAGGCGGCGGAGCAGTGAGACTAGATTTGGAAAGAAGAGTGGGAAAAGGAGGATAAAAATCACAGATATGGCTCAAGATACTGAGAAATGCAGGGAGAAGGTGATACGGAACACACTCTGGAGTGTACGGAAGGAGAGGAGAAAAATAAGATGCTATCATGGAGCTTTGTTTTCATACTTGTTAAAGACAAAACCATGAATGATTTCCCAGTTTTCTGATTTTGATAAGTGCATGTTGATGTGCATATTTGGTATCAGAGCCTGTTCTCAATCGCAATACAGTTAAATCTAGTGGGAGTCCAATATTACTTCAATGTATATTGGTGCAAATGGCAGCAGAATCTGGTCTATTTACATTCATTTCAAAAGCTATATTTGGAAGAAAATAAATGCAAGCAATTCACGCAGGAACTATAAACCAGAACAGTTAAGATATTTCCTATCACTGTGAATTTATGGCTTAATCATATAGTATCTCAAATGTCAGCTACTTCATTATTGACACCTTTATCTGAGTGTTACACTTCATCGGTCTAATTCTGTGCTGACGTTAGCTGGCTCAGCGCCAGCCACGTCACCGAAGCTGCCTTGATTTACACCAGTGGTTAATCTTGCCCATCTCGCCCTGCTGTTTTCTTTCTTCTTTTTTTTTTTTTTTTTCTTTTCCCAAAGAAACTTCTCTCTTTTTGTTGTTTTTAGGAATCATTCGTCTGAGGGATGGATTTCATGACCGCTACCCAGTGGAAGATTACCTTGATCTGTTTGATTTAGCAGCACATCAGATTCAGGGTGTGCTGCAGAGCGAAGCGGCGAAAGAGCACGGCAAGATGAACAACATCATAATTGGTAGGGCAAACACAGCCTGTGAAATACGTCTCTGTAGCTCCAGGTTGGCAGCGTTCGTAGCTGAGGCATGAGAGGGGCATTTCCCAGATGTGAACGGCTCCCAGCACGGGGCCCCTGATGCTGGTTTTCTCTGCTGTATGTGGATAGTGCAGAAGTTCTTGCCTTTTCCTGGAGGATGGTTACTCGCTTTGTTCAAAAGTTGTGATTGTCTTTAGAAAATGCCTGAGCAAGCAATAGATGTCTGATGACCATCAGCATTTCATTAAATCTTTTTTTAAAAAAAGAGTGAGAATGACCCTGGTGACTCCTTCAAACATGGTTTTCATTTTGTTTTCATTATGAGGTGTTTGTAGTGATGGGATTGTAGCTTCAAGTTCATGTGCTGTAGCATTGTGTCTGGGATAACACACTAATTGTGGTATTACGACATGCAGTGGGTGCCGGAGAAATCCTGTAGCTGACTGGAGACAGTTTCCGTGATAGCAGCACAGCTCTTCTCAAGCTCCAACACAAGGTCCATGTAGGAGAAAGGACGACAGTTTTTTGCATCATCATCCCTATGTAGTCTATGGGAGACTGAAATAAATATGATTAAACTCACAAGCTGCTTTTTAAACAGCAAAGATAATGCAAGTTTGAAGAGCAGGGATCTAGAGAGTCAAGTTGAAGCTCTCTCGTGCTCTGTTTCTTTTCACATACAGACCCTAGAGGCACGGTACAGGATAATATTTGAACAATCCTACTGTTTCAGTTGATATTAAATTACCTGATTAGCATTAAAAATGGCTTGAAAATGCTGCTGTGTCGTACCTTACGGAAGACTGTGGTTAGGACTTGGCCTGAGGGAGGGATCCCTGGGTTGCTTCCCATGACACACAGTGGTCGATCCACCGTGCTCATCCACTGTGGTCGTGCTGCCGTAGGTTTACTGTGCCCGTGAGGAGTGTCAGCAGAAATGTCTAAATTCTGCTTTTGCTGTCTGCTAAAACCAGAAAACTGAGGGGAAGAGGTTTTTTACCAGTTTTACTCTGTCACCTCAAACGTTCCAAGGGAAACCAGGCACTTTCCATGAAAATACTAGTTGTGCAAGAGACAGTTCCCTGTTGAAAAGAGACTTGTCAAGTAGGCCTGAAGTCGTTATTCTACAGAAAACACAGACAAGATTTTTGCTGCCTGCCCTCAGAGGGAATACCCTCAGAATATTTTTTTTGTGTCTCATTCTAATCAAAAAAATTTAACCAATTTTTGGCTGGATGAAATGGTGATGATGTCTCACGTTGTTTAAAGCAGAGATTTGGCTATAGTCTCTGCTTTTGTTCAGTACTTTCTCAGCCTCCATTTTAGTCTATCATTCTCTTTATTAAATATTCAACATTGAGCAATATTTGCAAGATGGGGTCTTAAGAAATTTTGCCATCAAGGACATCTGCAGATTTTCCTCCTACTTACAATAATATCTCCTGTCCTTTCATGGGTGAAGTGCTTATACTAATTAAATTCACTAATCTAATTGGCAATGTACATCTTTGATTACCTCCTGTTACAGCTTTTTCTAGAGTTCACTTTGTGTTTGGTTTTTTTTGTTGTTTTTTTTTTTTTTTTTTTTTTTTTTTTTTTTTCCTGTAGTCTCATTTCTTGTTTCATTAAGGTTCTGTTCGCTTTTCTTATTAAGTTTACAGGAAAAGTCCTGAATGATTATACTCATTAAGTCAGTCTTTTATGACCTTGGTAAGAAACAAAACAAAGCTAACTAGTCTAAAATGAATCTTTATGAATATCAGGTTTGCTTGGAATCTTCCATTTTCTTATTGCAGATGACTAGAAAGAAAAATCGAATTAAAGCTATAAACTTTTCAGTAGTTCATCATGTTACATTAATTTGAAAAATTAAGCTTCTCTGGATATTATACTTAGTGGGTAATAATTGCATTTTCCCAAAAAACCTAACATCTGTTAGAGATGAATCAAAGAGGACAACGTTGATCTAGCCTGAGGCATTCTGAGCAGGGCTTGTTTATTTGTGATCATTAATAGGATAAATTCAGAGGAATGTCTTGTGAAAACACAGTATGATTTTAATCTATTAATGACTGAATAAAGAGGTTATACATTTATTCTTTAAGCAATTTAGTAATTTATATGTTCTTTAAGTTCATGAGAAAATGAATGTATTTTTGGTTGAGCTGCAGTAATTTGACATAATTACTATAGCAGCGATTAATTTATCTCGTGTTTAGTATGGCTCGTTCTCTTTGCAGATATTAAATCTGTATTCTAATCCAGACAGGAACGCTGTCAAATTGTCAGGAGTGTGTTTGGCTGCTTCAGGAAATTAAAATTATAAGAGTCAGCAGAGACCAGAATGATGGTTGGGTTGTTTTGGTTTTGGTTTTTTTTTTTTTTTTTTTTTTTTTTTTTTAATCCCTGCCCTTCCTCTTAATTCTTGAGTCATCTTGTTTTGGAAAGATTTGCCTTGCTGAACCCAGGCCTTCCTGTATTAGAGCAGCACCCTGAGTCCCTGTTAATTTAGCATGATTCGGGCGTGTGCCTGTGATCTTCTCTTACTTGTGTGCTCCCTGGGCTGCGATGTTAGGAGAATCTGTGTGTTTACGTGTAAATGTTTTGATTTTATTTAGTTCAGGCGGCAGATGTTCTTATGCTCAGGTTTGGTCATTACATATAAGTTAATTGGAATAAATCCAATAGAGCATCAAATCTGGTCAGAGGTCTACAGAGCAGAGAAGTATAAAGGAAGATCAGAAAATCTCTTCTAGAGAGGAATAGGTGGTTTGATGGGGTCATAGACTTTAATCTGTGGCATGATTTAGGCAAACAGTTTTGAGGGAGCAGTTTAAGCCTGGCTGTTCCTGTCATGGAGATGTAGCAGTGACTTCCCAAGGTCGTTCTCATCCCTGGAGTGCACTGTTCTGTAAATCCGTGCATGCAAGCGCTCACAGCCATTTGCATTATACCATCTTCTGACAGCGCAGAAATAGCTGCGTGGTGTTTTTGTGGTATGGCTATCTCTTGTCCTATATTTAGTCTTTTGTGTTTCTGCTTCAGCCAGCGTGGGAGTTGGGCTAATTGAGTTTTAATTGACAAGTCAAAGACCACTGATGATTAGGCAGTGCTTTGGCTAATTAATTTAGAATGGAAAAGCAGAGCGGTTGTGGACACCCAAATTTAGCCAATGGACCTGATCTTCTGAAAAGAGGCAAAATGAACATGACAGAAGATTAATGTGTTTTCTAACAACTCCCAGACTTTATTAATGAATCACATTATGTTAAGCTGCAATTTGGAGCCAGTGCCTTTTTCATGTTGTGTTTTGGCCATCTCTTAAAATCTTTATTGAACTTTCCCAGGACATGAAAAAAAAAAAAAAAAAAAAAGTTATTTTTTCATCTCATTCCTTTTGATTCGAAAAACCTCATTAACAAGAATTAGCTCTCATTAGACTGTCAAAGAGTGGAAGTTGCCAAAAAGCTTCTGTATATGTTTCGTTAAACAGTAATGTGCCATATAAATGCCCGTATTACTTAAAAAGTCAGGGAAGATTACACAATTCAAAACATTGTATCAGAACATTTATTTAATAGCTGAACCATCAAACTCCTTGTTCTGGCAGAGTTGTTACTGATTGTGTTTCTCCCTGTAGTGTTACATTCAGAGAAAACTTCTTTAGAAACTCAGGGTATCAGAATCCGGCATTTAAACAAATGTGTTATTTATGCTATAGACCTTTTGTCAAATAATTAGATAATAGTTATAATTGATTTAACCTACATGAATAATCATAGCTATATAAAAAAGTTCCGATAAAGGATAATTCTCAAAAAGGGACATTTCAAACCGCAGTGATGCAATTCAGCTGGTTAGTGCATTTTTTATTTTTTTTTTTTTAATATTTCCCATGTGGTCACCAACTCTCTTGTTCACATTCTTAGCACTATTGATCCACTGGAGTGGTGATTTCTGCTTTTTTCTTCAGTTTGTGTCAAATTTTTTAGCAAGTGACTTCTCTGAGATCAGGACCATTAAAACCAACCTTTGGGATGCTACAGAGGGCATGGCAGGTCTTTGGCAGTGATGAGCTCCTGCCTCCTCGCTGGAGGGTGCCCCAAACCCCTGAGCAGTCCGATCCAGCCCGGATGAAATATATTTGCATGTGTTAATCACTAATAGGAAGCAGTGTGTTTGGTGAACAGTTATATTTCAGGTGGAATTACATAAAACCTGCCTTGGCCATCGCTACTTTCACAAAGGTACAAGGCAATGTGATTGTTCTGGCTCTGGGGAGCATTAGCCAGATCAATTTGCAAGAACTGAGGTATGTTAAAGTTAATAGTCAATTTTAATCAGTCTACACCAGTTCAAAATTCAGGCAATTTCTACTCCATTACAAAGAATGAAATGAGTTACTAGCAGAGATGCTTTTAATTTCCAGGGGAGGCCAGTGCCTCGACTATGTGGGACAACAATGCTTGGATTTTCTTTTATGACAACAGCAGTGAAGGAGAACCTCCCTTCCTAATCCAGGATTTTATCCATGCCTTCCAACCGAATGCCAAACTCATCATCATGCTGAGAGACCCTGTTGAAAGGTGAGCAAAGATCACGTTGCTAAAGTACGCAAGAAATTTTTCTTACTATAGTAATTTTATTTTCTCTCGCTCTCTTGGATGCAAATAAATGTTCACGTGGTATTGGTCAAAGTTGCTTGGTTTATGATGAGAACTGCCAAGGGTTTTTATTCTGTGTGTTTTGTCATACGCAATTGTGATAGTGTTGTAAAGAGGGGCATGTGAGTGTAAATGCCACAGTGTGTGCCATGCGTGGACACCTGAGCTACTCTGAAAAAAAGAATTTATACGTTGCCAAATGCAATATAATTCCATTACCTGGGCTAATATGCCCTGATTCTCAGCAGGGCTCACTAGACTGAGTATGGCACCCCATTTCCAGGCCTCAGCATAAGTGGTCCCGTGAAGTGCTTCAATTCCTGTTAAATAATAAGGTTTGTGTCTTCAAGGGACATACTGTTCAAAATGATTAAAAGATTACAAGCAGCTCCAGAGTCAGCAAATGATACAAACCTTTTTAATCTTAAAATTGATTAGTGCAGCACTCATATAAAGCTTCAGGATGCAATTTTAGCTTGCACAGCCAACAGCTGCCTAGGAGTTCATCCTTGGTCTTCCTGACTTTGCTTGCAGTGAAAGGGCTCAGCTTTTGCAAGGGTGTGGTCTGTTCTTGAAGAGTTCTCCGTTCTGTTAGCCAGGAATGCCCTTCTTCCCACTTGCATTTCTCTTTTCATCTATAGTCTTCCTCCAGATTTCTGGGGCATTGCTTTCCACTGAAAGGAGGATGGTCATTCTGAGGGTAACAGGGAGGGTGGAGGGGATGCAGGCAGGAGTCCAAAAGGATCAGATTGAGGGGGTGTGAATTCCTTCTCGCTGTGGCTCCATAGGGATGTTCAGGACACTTAGGGATAGGTCGGTGCTTGGGGCGAAGCCCCAGAAACACCCAGAGCAGCTGGGCAGCAGGAAGGGATGAATGTTCCCCAAGGATAGGACATGGCTAATGGCGAGAGGCAGAGCTGTGAGAGTGCTTCCCATCTCCTGTGTCAGGAAATACAGCTCTCAACTTTTAATGGCATCTCCTGACCTCAGGATTTAACAGATGGTAATTTTATGTGTGAGCGCTGGCTGAAGTGGCTTCCTCATGTAAATTACTGACAAATTCCCTGATTGCTTTAACCACCTTCTGTAATGTGGGTGTAGCTCTTTGCCAGCTTTCATAAGGGTGAGATAAAAAGTCAGCTTCATCTCCCTTACTATATTTATGACAAATTGGTTTCTTTTTGTTTATGATTCCCTATGCCCTTGTTCCTGATAGCTCATCTGAACTTCAGGAGCAAAAGCAGCCATGGCAAAAGGGACATCCAGGACAGCTCTGCTGGTGATGCCAGACAGCGGGGCAGTTGCCTTTCAGTAGCCAGGAGGACATGGGTGCTGCGCAGGGTCTGGGACAGGGTCTGGTCTATCCCCCAACCAGGGATGTCTGGGGGACATCAAGGTTTGTGATGGGGGGTGTCAATTGTGTCATTATTTCATTGTAATGGGTGGTGATTGAGGGTAATGACTTCAAGTAGCTGGAACAGCTGAAATCCTAATCAGCAAAGGTTTTATTTCCACGCAGATGTCCCCAGAATTAAAAACAGATGGAAAGAAACATAGAAAATCTCAACTGCCCTGCAGAGAGAGAACTTGTCTTCAAGAATGCAGTTTTCCTTAAGATGTCAGCAAGTCTTTAAAACGATGCATTTATTTAAATGGAAGATTAGAAATACTAAGCAGTCATATTAAACCTTTCCAAATACAATTGCAGCCAGGCCCATACAGTATGTGGTGCCTTCTGGCTGATTTCCCCCAGCAAGAAGCTTTTCACCTGCTCTGCCAGGAGCAGTCGGTCCTGCCATCCCTGGGACAAGCTGGGCGAGCCCAAGCCTTGTTGATGTACACACTTTTCTGAAAGAAGGAGATACTGTTGGGTGCCCAATTTAGTTGAAGTTGACTGGCTTTGTCCCTTAGCTTCTCTCCAGCTCACTCTTGTATCCAATGCTGGTGAGGTGGCTCTTTGGGGGTGCAGCATGAGGGACCCAAGGTCTGCCATTGTAGAGGGAGAGGACACACGTGGTGCTGTGGTTGTGGTCCTCAAGCACCAGTTGGCATCACTTTGCAATGGGCTGTGCCATCAGTCTGGTCCTGGTCCCCTCCCTCTGGTCTGATTCAGAATTTTTTCATTTAAAGAAAGCTGTCTGAAGTGCATTGGACAGCCTGTCAAGAACTGGACAAAAATTAGTCTTTCTTACTTGGTGACTCCCATACATGGAACTGGGTGCCCCTGCCTCATCTTCTATAGTGTGCTATGATTTTTCTTTTTAAAAGTGTGTAAAAATGGAATTAAAAGCATCCTGAGATGAATGTATCCCTTTCCTTCATTTTAAATGAACATAGAGTCTTCATTTGGTTTGTATGGGAATTCAAATCCTGTTCTTGCAAAACACTAACATAAATAATGAGTGCAGAGGGGCTATTCCTGTGCTTAAGTGCTTTCCTGGATTAGGGCCTAAACTTTCTAAATTAAATTATGAATTTTTAAGTACCTGTGGAAATCTAGGGAAGTTAAAAAATAAATAAAGTGCAATACAAAAGGTTACTGCAGCAATAAAACGAGACCTAAATAAATCAGTTTTTAAAGTCATGTCTTAGACACCTGTGTTTTTTGAAAGAGGCTGAAAGATGCCTAGATTTTCTGGAATTCTGTCGAGAGGTGGGTTCTACAGAGGCAGAATATTTGTGCTTCAGGCACAGTTGAGGAAGTGACTCCTTCTCAAGTCTTACAAAATTGTCTCCAAAATCCTGAGGTATTGTTGGGGTTCTGGTCATAGTTTCTAAGCTTAAATATGAAAGAAAGTTAAAATACCACGTTCAGCAGATTTAATACTGACACCGTGTCAGAGCATTTCCTCTGTCTCTTTGAATCATGTTTATCTTGGGAAAGTTTAATCAAGGTTTCAGGGATTAATGCTAATGTAGACATTTTACTTGCCTGTAGGTTTTGGGTTGTTTCACCACCACCCCTGAAATGTATTTAGATCATCTTTTTAAAATGATATAAAGCAATCGCAAAACTTGTGCTAAAAACGTGCAATGAGGGGATAATTCTCTGCTGTAACTTAGAGAAATTCCTGTTGCTGATGGCTTTTGCTCGCGGGAGCAGCTGATGCAGGGGCTCTGCTTGCCTGCAAGCTGCAAACACACGTGAGGTCACGTCCTGCTGCCCTCAAAGTAGAGGTGAGACTGCTTGGGGAACGCAGCACTGCAGACTGTAGCACAATGGTGAACCATTCACCTGGCTGTAGTATTTCAGATTAAAAAAACAAAAAAACAAACAAACAAACAAAAAACCCCAAGAGGTGAAATGCTGTAAATTGGGAGGTTTTGATGGAAAGTCAACATGGAAACAATATGAGATTGGAGGTGGAGCTGTCTGCAAAAACTAGCAAACCTGGACCTTTTCCTATTTTTGATGATGACCAGCTTGGAAATCAATAAAAATCACTCTTTCTAACCCATCCCCTTCCTCTGTTGGTTTTGATTTAGATTTAAACTTTTGAGGTAAGGACTGTTTGTATCCATGGCAGTGTGGAGCACCAAATATAGAGGGGTACCAACGTCAGCCGAGATCAGTTCTACTGTTCATAGATAACAAAAATTGAATCTATAAACACTTGAAAAATTTGCCTTCAGGCAATTTCAGGAGAAAATATTGGCTTGCACAATTACTGGGGTCAGGTTCTCAAGGGATGCTGACCTTGAAAGCAGGACGATGTTTGGCAACTCCCTGGAGTGGGTGTTACTCTGAGCCAAAACCCATCAAAATGAATAGAAAATGTGTCAGTGGCTGAACAGGCTGTCGGTGGGGCAATGTTACACACATGTACCCTTTCTCTCGATTTATGTAAGTGATTGCCATTGTCATGGAAATAAATTTTTTTTTTTTTTTTCATTTCCTCTGTCATTTACTTACATGTATCTCATTTGCAGATTGTACTCCGATTATCTGTACTTTGCAAGTGCTAATAAATCCGCGGAAGATTTTCATGAAAAAGTGGCAGAATCACTGCAGCTGTTTGAAAATTGCATGCTGGATTACTCATTGAGAGCCTGTGTCTACAACAACACCCTGAACAATGCCATGCCCGTACGTATTTCCAAGAACATTTGATTCCTTGCTTGTTTAATGGTATGTTGTGTCGAGGTTATTAAAATACCAAAATACTGTGCAACTAAGCGTCAAGAAAAAAAACCAAACAACAACTTTCTCCTTTTTCATTTGCAATAAATTTGACATAAATATATCTAAGCATGTAAAAGCTGATGTACTGGCTCAGCTGTGTCCCTAGTCTGTTCCCTGATGAATGCCAACAGTAATAATACAGTCTTCCTATTGTGCAAGTGTATGGAGAGCACATTTAGTGAAGATTACAGTTTAATGTGTAAGCTTTTTGCAGATCTCTCCAAAAAGTAGCTCTGGCAAGGATCTTTGTGGTACAAAATTGCCTCAAAATCAAAATAAATTATGCATTCTTTCTCAAGAAAAGACTACCAATAACTAGATAAAACCTTTCTTTTTTTTTTTTTTTTTTAAAAAAATGTGCACATCAGAAAATGATAAAAGGAAATACAGAAACTGCTGGCAGGGGAATGGATAAGTATTACAGGCTTAGTATTCCAAAATTCACATTTTGAGTGTGGAACTGCAAGTTTTGCTTGAGGGGGGAGAATAATATGGAAAAGATTGATTTGAAGTATCACGTCTGGCCAGTTTGCCATTCAATCCTCTTTTATTTGCTCAGGCTGTAAAGGACTCAGAGGGAATGCTTCCCTCCTTTGTCTCCGGGGTGAAGTTATTGCCTCCTCCACTCGACAAAATCACCATAAAAGAGTGTATTGTGCAAGCTTGCACCCCACAGCAGTAGGGCAAAGAAGACATTCCTCTTACTTACCTTGGCAGGTAGACTGGAGCTGCTCATCTTTGATGATGGCCTCCAGGACCTCCACAGACACGGGTTGCTTCCAGGCAGTATCACAATATTTTCCAGCCATCTGCTTGCGCAAATCCATTTCTTTCAGCGTGGGGAGAGAAAAGCAGAGAGAGAACCAGAAGGAAAGATTTTTATCTCTTATCTCTGTCCTCGGGGTGCAGAACCAATCTTCATTTGTTGTCTTAGGCAACCCCCTGAAGAAGATACTTTTGAAAATGAACAGAGGATGCCTCTTCCCAGAGAGCAACAAGCAGGTGTTCATAATAAAACACAAATGCCGACTGTGCTCCTCAATGGGCTTTTTTAGCTGCTTCTTCAGCCAAGTTGCTAAAGTCTGTTCTGTGCAGGGTCTGCTATATATTGAAAAAGTAGGGATTATTTTCCCTGGTGAGCTCATTAGATTGCTACTTGTGCAACTGCACCAGAAGAATTTTGTTTTGCTATTTGTTAATATATTCCTGGAACAAGAGAAGTGTCATAGACATTGTTGCTGCTGATAGATGCTAACCTGTAAAGAAAGGGATGTCTGTCAGCTTATTCTCACTTAGAATCAGTGAAAAACATATTATCCGGAGAAAGGCATGCCGAGCCAGGGTGAGCAAACTGAAAGTGCAGAAATTAATATATGGAGGAGAGAATGGCTTGGGAAACTCAACTGATGCCTTCAATGCATAGGGGGAAGCACTGGAGCTTTATGGGAGGAGACAATCTGGTTCAGAAGAACAGCAATGAAAAAGAAAGGAGTCAATACAACAAACTTATAGGGCAGAAAATCAAGGTTCTTGCTGATCCCAAGAAAAAAATAAACTTACAGGGACATAATAGTTAAAATTATGGGGACATATTATTTAAAATTCTTCTTTCAGGTCAAAAGCTTTAAAAAAAAGATTCTAAGCCTGTGTGGGAAAGTGCTGTGATCCCAAACTATACCATGAAGCCAACGGTCGCCTTTCACTCATCTCCATCTCCCAGGAGAAAGAAGAGCAAAACCCACCACTGAGCCCCACGTTTGCCCCAGTGCTCAGTGAAGTGGGGCATTGACTGAGGGCTGGAGTGCTGCCCTGCCAGTGCCATTACATGTTAGGCTGATGTTCTAATCAAATAAGATGTTCCAAATGGTTGTGTAGCGCATGAAGAAGTCTGCTAAATTTGGAGGCTTATTGTTATAAGCAGCCAAAAAACGCACATCAAAATAATACATTATGATAATAACGGCTTAGCAGTAATTCAAAATATGGCTTATTTTACTGGAATTTAGGTATCAGTGTAGGTCACATGAGTCAGTGTAAGAAGCAAAAGCCTATTGCTGTCTGACTTCATTGGTTCGGCGGTAATGCGACTTGAAGATGTTAAGTCTCTTTTATGAAAGATGCTTATGACCTGGGATTCGTGTTCCTCTCTTCTGAGCCTGAAGGGATTTAGAAAAATATTTATAAGCACAGTTGGAGGTTGGACTTTTAAGAACACCAGACTACCCTTTTTGTGTTTCAACTTGTTATGTAAAATTGAGGAGGGAAGAAAAACAGAGATTAGGTCAGGACAGGCTGAAAAATTGCCTTTTCACATCTCTGGTCTAACATAGTCTGGCACTCTCATTGCGTGCTCAGACAATGCGCCATTAACACTGTCTAGCAGCCACTTCTACCGCAGCTTAGATCTAAATCTAATTATTGTAATCAGAGGATAAAGCAAATATGCCCCGATCTAATTCCTGACACCGAATCAGAATATATGTACGACTCATGGCAGCGTGATCTGGTGCAGCTGATACTCAAGGTGAAACAAGCAGCCTTAGAGCCTGGAGAAGGTAACATCTTCCCTTCCACTGCTGTTTACCCAGGGGCTGAAGGCCCTCAGTGTCTCCACGAGGGCTGGATCATCCCAGGCACGGAGGAGCATGGAGATGAGGTGGCCGAGCATCCTTCTGCATAGGGTTGTCTCCGTGCAACGCTTATACGTAGACCCGGGGCTGATGCAGCAAGTGCAAAGCGAAGCCCTTAGTAAAATGACATCTCTAACCTGTAGAAAGCCCATTTGCGAAGATTTCCTTAAGCTGCACTGAAAACAAGAGGAAGATTGAAAAATGTTCAGATATTGTCTTTTTATGAGTCCTCAAGGGAACATAATCGGGATTTTTGCCCAGAAGACAGAGATGAATACTGGTTTGTTACTGCTAGAAGTGGTGTAAAATGAATGATTTTTTTTTTTTTTCTTTTGGGTTTTTTGTGCTTATAGGTAAGGTTACAAGTTGGGCTCTATGTTGTGTATCTTTTGGACTGGCTGACAGTTTTTGACAAAGATCAGATACTCGTTCTTCGCTTGGAGGATCATGCATCAAATGTGAAATACACCATGCACATGGTGTTCCAGTTTCTGGATCTGGGTACGTGTCTTTTGGCTGTTCTGAGATAAGTGCAAAAAATCATTATTATCCTTCTTCTAGGTCATTTTTGCTTTATTAAGAGACAAAACAGAAGCATGGGAATCTGCCTTGAAGGATGCATTAATCTTGTTGCCTGGAGTCAGGCAAAATTAAAATTCCCAAATTCCCATAGAAAGGCTGGTGTTAGAAGATCTTAATAAGAGTATTGCAAGAAAAAAATAAACCCATTCGGAGCGTAGGGATATATCTTGCCATACAGAAGCCAGTCCTGCTTCTGAAGGCAGTCAGGGCTTGTTTGTCATGGGCTTACATAGGTGCAAGAGCTATCCCACAGAATTTAAACAAATTGAAGCGCTATCATGGTGTGCGTGCTGCTGCCAGCATGCACCAATCCAGAATCTAAATCTGAGTATGATGAAAGGTTGTGTTTCTAGCCGGGGAGAAGGGGGGAATTGTGTTTTTGCTGTGTTGATTGAGACATCTGTTGCTAATCCTCGGAGAAACGCTGGCAGACAAAATGTTGCCCAATGTTGATTTGACAGTAGCAAGAGGATGAAAATGTGGCTGCAAAATAGTCTGGCTGGTCCAGACACTGGTCTAGATGATGAGAAAGTTTGAATGTAGCAGATTGAACAGATGAAGAGCTTGGCATCTTCTTCCTGAATATGGTTTGTGCTGGAAAAGTCTGTGGGTTTTTATCTTGCTGAAGTACATTGTCAAGGGCTGACATTTATTTCTGGAATAGGGGCACCACTATACCTCTGTGCCACTTTGATCCCCCTGACAGCCTCCAAAACGAACCAAAAAAAGGGCTTACGTGAGTGAGGCTTGTGGTATTGCTCCCAGGTATTAGACAACTCACTTCATCAAATAACAGTACAAAATAATTTCAACTCCAGAATAGACGGGAAGTTATATTCAATGTCATAGTTGTTTTCTGAAAACAATTTTTTTTTCCTCCAGAAATGATTTATCCTGCTTGTTGTAGAGATGATTAATTAATGTGAGAGGAAAACATACTATTTCCATATTTAGTAACAGTGATTTATTTTACTAATCTGAGCCTGTATTCAATATTCTGAAACATCATCTCTGCTAACACAAATTCCATTTGTCTTCCCCTGGCAAACCTTCTGATTTAGTCATTTGTCTTCTTTAGCGTGGGCCTTTTTGGTGAAATATTTTAAGATAATATTCTGTTTTTCCACAGGACCTCTGAGTGAGAAACAAGAAGCTCTGATTACAAAGAGTCCTGCATCAAACACTAGACGCCCTGAAGACAGAAGTCTGGGACCTATGTTACCAACAACAAAGGCAATTTTAAGAGATTTCTATAGGCCTTTTAATACAAAACTGGCACAAGTTCTTTTTGATGATGCTTTTTTATGGAAGAGGACATAATATGTAAATTTAGTGCCACAAATACAGTGCTTAAAGGAGTTTTTATTTTTTTAAATTCTATTTTTGTGCGTGGATATTTACATTTTTCCCATTCCAAAGAGAAGCCGATTGATGAGCTGAGACTCTCACCTTCAGTCAGCACACTTCACAACAGTTATACCACATTTTCCTTGTGAGAATGTAAAGCATCTTGCTTATCAGTTTATCGCAACTTCTTTTACCCCAGCAAAAGAGTAGAGTGGAAAAGCATTAGTACAAAGATGATGTCTTACACTCTCCGTGGGGATGTTGAAGTTTAACCTTCTCTAAGATGCTGCAACACAGAATTAGCATCAGTTTCCTACAATTACACTTATAATCTCATTTTCAATATATGTTATTCATTCATTTTTTCAAACTATCAATGTCATTTAGTCATTAAAATTTTTAATTGAATTCAATGTACAATTTTGTTTCTCTTTGTCAGCATACTCATGAATGGTCTTCACTCACACTAAGGTTTTTAAGTTTCCTTAATTCTGAAACAAAGATAAAGGATAATTGCACTTACATAAATTTCCAAGTCTCATTTATATATTCAGATAAATGGACTTTCCTAGCCACAGTTCTTGTAAAAGAAAATTTTATATTCCAGGTAAGAATGGATGACTGAAATCTAAACAACGGGCCACATTTAGTATTGTCTTACATATTTTTATCCATTGTCTTACATATTTTTATCATGTAAATATGAATACATATCATTTATTCATATCTCTCACATATTTTCCCAGGAAACCACTAATGGGCTTGATGTCAAGTCCATTGCTGGCCATGGAGAGCTTTTATGAACTTTTCTGTTATGTTCTACACTATTACTCTTCTCCATTGCAAAGAATACACATTTCAAAATAAATATAAAATCTTGTTATTAAATGCATAAATGGACAAGGATGCATCTTGCACCCTCATAGAAAGGATGTGTTACCTAATGAATTAGTTGCACGCTATGTGTTTCCCTCTTCAGGAAAGATGTCTACATCTAGTTAAAAAGGTTGAGATATGCAGACTTGAGAAAAAAAAACAAAAACAAACCAGTTTGAAAGTTATGGGAAAATTTTGAACCAACCCCAAGTTTTTTATTTGACTAGAATGGCCGGATTTCTATATACATGTGCAGTAATTCCATATCTGGTTTCAAATACTCCTGGTTAGGGTCACTGTCAGCTACAGTCTGCAGTCTTCCTGCAGGCAGAACTGGTTTTAAGAGACAAATGAAAACGCTTCTTGCTGATAATTACCTTTGAAGGGCTAAAATGATTGTTTTTTTTTTTTCCTGAATGCATGTTGAGTAGGTCAGATGAAGGTGGCGTCTAGGTAGCAGGAATCAAAAGCCCAAAGCATCATCTCTAATTGGCTTCACATGCCCTTTCGACCCTTATGGTCAACCCACAATGCAGCTTACTGATGGACTGACAAATACATTTACAAATACCAAGGGTAACTATTCACCATCCTCCTCCATGGGGACATGTTATTCACCTCCTGTGTTTCTAAATTGAGAATTAACGCTGAAAACTTCATGAATCCTGAACATTTCACACGTGAACATGATGGATGACATGTGAGATTTTTTTTTTTTGTAACAAAAATCCATTTCTAGGTTCGTTGCCAACTGGTAATGCACTATTTAAAAAGGATTCAGTCTGGTGTTGGAAAGCCTAAAATAAGTAATTTAAGGAAGCAGTTCTAGACAACCAGAATGTATTAGTTCTAGTTCAGAAATGCTTACAGACCAAAAATGGTTAGAGAACTGAGAATGGGCTATTTTAGCAGTACAAAAACAGTATCACGGCAGCATAAATCAGAAAATCAGAATGAATTCACCACTGTTTCCAAATGTAAATTTTTCAGTCAACAATTTATTTCATTAAAGATTTCTGCCAGCTGTGCTCTGAATTAGAGTCAACACTGTAACTCTATACAGAATGTTTGCTAACCTGATTTGCCATGGTCAAATATTTCCATTTAGTTGTCAGCTACCACCATGATCTTCCCAGTCCTAAAAGCTAATGAATTATCTTTTAGCATGAGCATTAATTCCATGAATAAATCACACACACTGGTTTGTGCCACACTGATGTATGGTGCTAAACTCTAATTTCTGCCTGCAGACTCATGCAGTCCACCAGTGGTCGGGGAGATTATCTCTACCCTTTGACTATGTATATAATCAAAACCAAAACATGCTTGATGGCCAGAATTTCTGCTTTAGGCCCAGCACCTTGCTAGATCGAGGTCTTACCTAGTTCTGACTCAGAGGAAGGAGAGATTGAAGATTCCATGTACTATGGCAGACAGTCCAGACCATGGGATTCAACAGAGAGTAGGTGGTCTAGAGAAGGGACTATAGCTATAGATGATCTGTTAGGAGCCTGTGGTCCTTCTGAAAGTGAAGTTTCCAATAAGGCTGCTTTTGTGTCTTAATCTCTTTCATGAGCTCCCAAATATCTCTTGATTCAATACATTGCAACCTTATGCTGTTGGGTTGTGGCATGACTAAACATCAAAAAGTAGCAAATTAACTGTCAAGAGGGCATCTTCGAGATAAGGACGTTGATCGCTAGTCCAGACTGTAAAAATAGTATTGATCTAGTGATTCAGAATAAAATAAAATAGCACTTGATTTTCTTGAGTGATGTGACGGTGCTGGGTGTCAGAACCCTCTTCAGGCCCAGAGCAGACAGCGTACCACTGCCATTCAGTGGCTTTGCTCCACCTCGCAGCAAATCTCTACATAGGGTAAGCTCAACCTCAAGTTCTTCCAGTTCCCTTTACCTTTCTGTTGACAATTCTAGCTGTGAAAGTATTCAATATTATTGTTATTATTCACTGGAGCACTGAGCTGAGCTACATCCCCAGAACAGTAATTTGCTAAGAAATTGGACTTACTATCAAGACAATATATTTTTGCCAAAGTGTAGCAGTGGCTCTTTGCAAAGAGCTCAGAAAATGTGTGTCTTGTACTGTGTTTCCACTCTTATCTCTGCTGAACAAAAGTAATCAGGCAAACATGCAGCTTTCCTGAGTGTAAAGGCACTGAGGAAAGGGTTGGTTCCAAATGTTCTCGCTGCTACTGCAGAAGGATGTGAAATGTGTTTTCTGTAAGACCTTGCGTGTTTGGGCCAAGCATCTCAGCTGTCTGGAAGAAGCACAGTAAAAACAAAGGATCTCCTGCTAAGAAAAACAGGCACTGGTTTACATGGAAAATAGGATGTTGTTATCTGTTGAGTCCAGTGCACAGACTTGTATGCTTCAGCTTAATAAACTGAAGATAAACAGTGAAGTTGTCACAGTTCTGCATATATCTTTCTGCCAAGAGGTTAATCCATCTTCCAACTAAGCCAAACTGAAGGCACGACAGTGTCACAAAAAGTTAATCCCTCTAAATACCCCTCACACGGGCATGTTTAATGAGACACTTCATGAGCAGCTGCATTTTTCTAACAAAAATTCTTGTGTTGCACTACCATCTTGTGGTCACGAGGGGCAATACTTGGTGCCACGAACATACATACATTTTCTTCTATTGTGAAAAAAGGCAGGTGAAAAAAGAAAAAAAAAAATACTTTCCACTACTTTTCAGATGCCCACAGGAATATATTTTCCAGTGCAGTCCAGGAGCTGTGTGTCCTACAGAGAAGTGCTGACTCTGCACAGCCCCAGCATCATAGAATCACAGAATCGTTTAGGTTAGAAAAGACCTTTAATCTCATCGAGTCCAACCACTAACCTAGCACTGCCAAGGCCACCAATAAATCATGTCCCTAAGCACCACGTCTACACATCTTTTAAAGACCTCCAGGGATGGGGACTCTACCACTTCCCTGGGAAACCTGTTCCAGTGTTTGACCGCCCTTTCTGTATAGAAATTTTTCCTAATATCTAACCTAAACCTCCCCTTGTGCAACTTGAGGCTGATTCCTCTTGTTCCTATCGCTTGTAACTGGGGAGAAGAGACCGACCTTCTGCCTCATCCCAACCTCATCCTTGAGGTCCCTCCTGGGGAGCTGCCCTGGGCTCCTGCATGCACTGCAGTCTCCCACAGGGATTTGCCAGCACCTACACAGGGCATCGTGCAGCACTTAACCTCTGCACTGAGGGGAATTTTTTGGCTCATGTTATTCTAGTAGTGGTTCTAGTTATTAATAAGTACGCAGCTCAGAGCAACTACCCAACTGTTATCAGGCGATGTCATGGGAAACCTTGATCGCAGAGATGCTGCCAAGGGCTTTGATCCACACTTCTGTCTGTTCTAGCCCTCTGCTTGCATCAGAGGAACAATGTCATCAGCAGTTGAGGCTGGGGACATGCTTTCCTCTGCCGACTTCGGCAGAGTTCTGCTGGGGACCCTCAGTTTTAAGTCACAGCTCTCTGCGCTGCCTCAATCAATAGAAAAGCCCTTAAAATGATTGCCGGCATGGCAGGGACTTAATGGACTGCCAGACTGAAAGCTGCCTTTGAAAATTAGAGGCCTGCTGTGTATGTATTAAGTAACAATTAGCAGAAAATAGGGTTTGGAAGAGACACAAATAGTTATCAATGTATCACGTTTCAGAGGAAAGACACACTTTCCGTCCCTCACCCTCCTCATTTCTGAGCATCCATTTGCTGGGTGAAAAAGCTGCCCCTTTGAGGAGGTGTGGGTGTGTTGGTGCCTCTGCAGCTGGGCTGGCAGGGGCAGGGGCTGCTCACACCCCCGGGCTGTGTCAGGGCAGAGGGGCACTGGGGACTCCCTAGGTGTCCATCTGCCTCCTCCTGGCATCACCCACCAAATGTGCTTTTCTCCAATGACGTCTGCAGGAAGAGGAGGTAAGATTTAAGAGTTTTGACTTCCCTGATGCTCACAGGGGTGAGAAATCCTTGGCCCATGAAGGTTCATCACCTTCAGTCCCTGGCAAAACAAGCCCCAGTGACTCCCTTCCTCCCTCCTGAAGAGCCATGCCCTTCATCTTCAGTTTGACTCCCCAAACCAGAGGCAGGATCCCACACACTGCCCCATTCCCTGCCTCTCCAACTGCTCACTCTCCTGCGGTTATGGATCACAGACGTGGAAGATCTAGAGGAAAAAATATGAAATTAAAACTCTAAGAGCTTTAAAATTTCTGTTTAGTTACTGAAGTAGCAGCTGCTGTGGTAACAGCTTACTGTATGTCAGCGGTTGCACTGCGGAGTTGCTGCACAGGACATCTTCCCCAAAGAAAACACAGCCAAACACTGTCATTTACTATCAAAAAGGGGTGTGGGGGGGGTCAGAATAATTCACAGTTCTTTGAATACAGTCTGAATATGTCTCACATATTTACAAGATGCTCTCTACTAATGAATGGGAATGAGGGAAGGGAAGGCTTGTGCTGGTACTCAGAGCGCTGCAGTGGAAGAACAGCCTCAGAGTAGCTCCCAAAACTTTATTTATATTATGCTCCAAAGGCCTAAGCCGCACATGATTTGCAAATAATTTGAGGTTTAGCTTTTGATGGAGCTAAGACCAATGCATGCTGATTGTTGAACATGTTGGGTTTCTCAGAGAACAAAGATTTGGGACTGTCTGCATCACACATGTAGTGAGATGTCAGTCATCAGTGACTGCTCACAATTTAGCCGATGAAGCTGAATCTTCTTCCAAACTTCCACAGTGAAATTTTGAAAAAAAGCTCTTGTAGAAAAAAAAAGAAAGACTGTGCTTAAAATCTCAGTGTTTCTTTTATTGTTTTATAGACTTGTTGAACATATCCATAAGTCAGACAATATAATTTAGATCATTCACAGCTTTTCTGCCTTCCCAGCTCAGTCCTTGTGGTGACACACAGAGTATGTATATTTATTTATACATATCACTCTAGGCCCGAATGGACTTTATTTAAGTGACTGTTGCTTTCTCAGGTCCTCTGTGCGAAGAGCAATTACCAACTCCCCACTTGGAGGACAGCCACACTGCCATTAAATAGGCATTAAAGCAGAAATACACTCGGATATCTCTAGCTAAGCTATCCCAGGACTGAAAGAAGCCAAGGGTTTCCCTCTGTGCTGTCCTGCCCCGGTGGCCCTAGTTGCCTGAGTGGTTAATTGGGTCTCCACATGATAACTCCTTCTCTACTATGTTGAAATCAGAGATAGAAAGCAATGAAAACTGCTGTCCGTTGACATGAGCGGGGCGGTGTGGAACTACAGCAGGGTGAGGAGGCCAAGGCTGCGATACACATCTTCAGAAAGGGATGGAGGAAAGGGAAAAATAAGAAAGAAACCCTAGAGTTGAGTCAAATGAGATTCTGGAGAAGTGAGACAAATCCATTTGGCAAAATTGCGAGGAAGAAAGTAAGCACAAGCAAGGTAGCCAAAAAATAGAATAAATCAGACAGAGAAATAAGCAGAAGGAGATGTACGGCTGTCAGATGGAAAGATGAATTCTTTTGACTATCTGAAAAGGCTAAGGAAAAGAAAGTAATGATATAACCTGGGTTTGGTTTGACTGGAAAGTGTTGGTTTGACTGGAAAGGTATAGACTGAGCCTACCACAGACTTGGCTTTTGTTGTGTGTTGCTCTGGGAGGTCTAACCTCTGTCAGGAGGAACAGGGACAGGATCTACAGAAATGTGAGTTCTTCACCTCCCTCTGCCCAGGTTGTTCAAGAGTCCGACACCTCATTTACACTTGGGAAGGAGTAAATTATATTAAGGAGAATAGAACAATTATCGAGGGGGAAGGTCTGAAATAAAAACAGGAGCTAATTCTCTGGATTAGGAGTTTGAAAGAAGCTAAATGCTGCACTTATAGCTAAGAGAAGAAGGTTGGCATTAGGAGATTTCTCAGGTATCCCTTATCCCTGCCCACAGGCTCTGGATGGGAGGATCTGTCCTGGGCAGGACTCTGGACCAGGAGGTGTGTAATAGATGGCAAAACTACAGTATGCATTTTATTTTAAGCTCTGTTTGTGGCAAACCACATTGGTGATTTTAGGATGTGGTGTGTGACGCTGCTGACAGAGGAATGTGGGTCAGGAGCAGAGAGATGGCACTTGCCAAAACCCATCTGACTGCAGCATGTCTGCACATTGACACCCCATCCCCTCCAGCTGCAGCTTTCAGGGGTCACCAGGCATTTATTTTCCAGGAGTGTAGGACCAGCAAGAATTGAGATGTGATCAGGGCAGCAGCAGACCACGAGAGGGCAGAGCATAGCTGGAAATTCAGCTGCAGCAGGAAAAGCTGGTGTGCAACTGCCAGACCCAGCTCCTGCATCGCCACAAATTCCAATTGTGGCAGCATTGCCACAGAGGACACCTGGGAGGTACAAAAGAAGGAGGGATACATCTGACAGCGGCTGCAGGCAGGTGGGCAAAACCTGGTGCCCTGGCTCACAGCCTACGGGAGGCCCACTCACAAAAAGCTTTTATGGGAGAGTTCCCCAGAATTGCACCGAGAGGTGTAGGGCAAGCGGTTCTCATGCTGCATAACACAAATGCACCCAAAACTCAGTGTAACTCAACATAACGCATGCATAACATCACTCAAAATAACTCAGTGTAATGCATACGTAACTCAACACAACTCGTACTTAGCACAGCTCAGCATAACTCAACGTAACACAAAGAGCACTGGGAGAATTAGGCAAAAAACCTGAAACGTGCCCAGCAGTACAGCTGACCTGCAACATGGCACTGATGCTATTCACGTAGAGTCATTGGCATCATGATCCCCCCATCTGTTGCATGACCCTACCGGGACTGGGGCAGCCCCACACCTTCAAATTCACTCCCCACCATGTCGCCGAATACAAATCCCTTCGCAAACCTCAGCGCAAGTAATATGGATTTTGAAGGTACCAAATGAAAATCCCACTTACTGCAGCAGGCAAAAATAAGCCCAACTTCTTTGTGTTTATTATTTCAGCGCATTATTCAGCTATCCTGTATCATGGTATATCAGGAAAAGAACATATGAACAATTCACCCCCACTGAAAAAAAATCTTTCTCTGATCCTTGCACACTAAGCAGCCAGGTCAGTATTTATCGCTTCATTAAACAATATTTTCTAAGTTCTCTGCTGCCTCACAGTGATATTACCAAACCGAGTGGTGTTGAAGCATCTTTTGCTTCAGTAGTACTATCAAAACATGAAAAAAAGTTTCTTAGAGTAAAAAAAAACCCCACCCTATCTTTAAATAACACCTTCCAAACAGGCACGTATGCGTCAGTCCTTGGTGATGCTGTGTCATATGGCCCAGGGTGAATCCTGGAACAATTTTTCCCAACCTAAAGATAAGTGTGCATGACGTCTGGCCTGAGC